TTGTTGAGAAAGTAATTGTTAGTAGGGCAGTGTGTTTGTTGAGAAAGTAATTGTTAGGAGGGCGGTGTGTTTGTTGAGAAAGTAATTGTTAGGAGGGCAGTGTGTTTGTTGAGAAAGTAATTGTTAGTAGGGCAGTGTGTTTGTTGAGAAAGTTATTGTTAGTAGGGCAGTGTGTTTGTTGAGAAAAAACTCTAAAGGACAGCCTACAACATTTCAGTTTTGTAAGTTCTAATTATTGTAGATATAGACAAAGTGTCTCAAGTCCTTGCTGCAACATAGTGCTCAATACCTTAACAAGGGCAGATCTAACTACACAAGGCAGAACAACAGAGGCCAAAAAGCTTTTCTCGTAACTCCGAATTTCGTGTTATAAAAACTCTCATCAGAAGAGACACGAAACTTGGAGTTACCAGAAAGCTTTTTGGTCTCTGTTGTTCTGCCTTGTGAAGTTAAATGTATATGTACCTACATGTACATAACCATGTACATGGTCATGTACATGGTTATGTACATCGTCATGTTCATTATACTTATACATTGTATATGGATGAAGAACAGAAGCAGAATTCCAAGTCGGGACTCACTACTAGTCCTTGGCGGATTACATAACAGATAAAATTGCAGAATAATTTGCTACTTTTTCTGTTCACTTGTTTGAGGAAGGAGCCAAACGAGAAACGTCTGAAGAAAAAGTTAACTGTCACCAACAGGACTCGAACCAGGGACCCTCGCTTGTAGCCAGCGATGCTCTAACCACTGAACCATGTAGGGGCCATCACTGTAGAAACCGTTCCACATTTTCTTCAGACTTCGTAACTCACACTTCCTGTGAATCCACACAGGCGGGTGGGACGCAGCCCTCACTGTCACCAACACACTTCACGTAGAAAATAGCACGCTACATTTTCTGAGCTAGTTTTTTTCCCCGAAACACTGTGTATTGAGCAGGGAGTGGTGCTTTCTTGCAGGTTTGCCGAGTCGAAGGTTCAATGGACTTCTCCTGTTCTCTGGATGGCAGTCGTGAGTCAGTCAAGTGTCAAGTCGTCGGAGGAATACCGCGAGCTCCAGTGTGGGAGCAAAACCATTCCTAGTTTTTTTGTATCGGCATTGCATGCATGCTTGGTAGATCTACACTGTATGTGGATAAAGTAAGGTAGAGACATTCATGCTAGTGCCTGCCATCATGTTTGTTCTACCAACTCCACTGCTTCTCGAGCACAATCTGCCAATTTTTCGAGCATTGTTCCCATCGGCATTGGCTTAAACATTTGCGGTAAGTCTGCTGAGGGGATGTGTGTGTGTGTGGGGGGGGGGGGGGGTGGGGGGGGGGGGGGGGATAGTGCTTCGAGTGTGGGGCACGAAACGTGGTGCAAAGAAAATCGAGTGGTATCAGCTGGCACCTGGCGGGTACTAATTCAGTCATGTAGACTCGACACAAAGTTTTTATCACAATCAGCAAAATGTGAGAACAACTATGGACAGAGAACTCAACGGATTCAATTGTAATCAAGGCTTGTTATTACGATCAGAAGTCATGTATACTATTAACCCTAGAACAGCCAACCGTGTCATTTGACACCGCGCGAGTCAAACTTTTATAATTACCGAAATATGGCTAATCAGAATAAGCTCAAATCTTGTGACTATTCCTAATTTTTCTTCCTATTTCGTCTGCCATAAACCTTTGATTTGTTATTGATGAGGTACCATAATGGCGAGTACGTATACCTAGAACGGCCAACCAGTGTCATTTGACACCTGCACTATAAAAAGCCATTATTGCAGCTAGATGGAAACAATATGAACACATTTCGAAGGTGTCGGCCATATCGAGTTGCTCGTATGCCAACCAGACAAAAGAAGGGTGCATGGGCAGGAAAATCGCTGAATACAGGACGAAATTATATGATCAACATACAACCGTCGGGCGAGAATCGCGAATTTGGGGCGGGTAACCATTAGTGCACAAATTACACAAACACTCTTCAGCTAATGTCCTTGATACTGCTCAATCCCTTTCATTTTCCTGTAAATTGCCCCAGAGGAGCCATCGCGGTCTGACGGCCAAGGAAATACTGGAACGGATGTAGCCTATTACCATGCATGAATCTGATGACCATGAAAGCGAAATTGCCCATTTTATCTTCATTTGATGGGTGGTCAAGTGTAGTGACCATTGGAAGTGGTGGATTTGTTCTGTCATATGAAGGCGAATCGTGCGGTGACAACACCTGAGTACCACCTGTGGATTCAGAATGTGTTGAGGTTCACGAGCCTCCAGAGAGCGGACGAGGGTTGCGGGATAGTCCAGACAAGGAATTGTCAGAAACAGTTGCAGGAGTGGTGGAGACCCGAAATGGATAGTGTTGAGGAAGAGAAATCGCAACTCTACAACCTGGAGATGGTACACCGCATTATCGCAAGGATGGTGCTGTGTAGATAATCCTTTCTAACTACTCGCCGAGCTAATAAGGCTCTTGAACTTTTTTTTTTTTTTTTA